CCAACTTTGTATATATAAGCTCATTAAGTAATTTTTTTCATTATGATCCCACTGATAACAATGGCACCAATCAGTTTAGCTCAGCCTCATTTTTAGTTAGTGATGAAAAAATAAAATCTTAGTGTCTGTGCAAGCTCTTTTGCATATTGCAGATTAGAATGCAGGCATTGAAAATGAATGAAAGAAATCCACAAAAACAGACAGATCTTTTCATGTTGCTATACTTTTTACCTTAGAAAAGAAATGTTGAAAGACATTTTGTTTAGGATCGGAAGAATTTGAGAGAGAGGCTTCCTGACTTTCAAATAAATTTGAACTTCCTGAGTACAAAGTTTAGATCAAATTCTTATTTTCTGGGCAAGGTTTCATTTATTAATGATAAAATGTGAATTTTCTGCTTCAAAGATAAAAGACTCCAATGATTTTTAAAGGCCTGAGATAGTTATTACAAAACTAAATTTTAATGAGTTAAGTGTAAATGAATTAGAAACATGCATCTCAGATTTCTTATTAAAATATACATGAGGTTACAGGTTATGAAGAAAAATGCTTGGCAAAGTACATCTCAGCAGCTGCCAACCTTAAAACATTTGAGACATTTTATCAGTTGTCCCAACAGCGGATGGAAGCTTCTTTCCTCCATCCTCTGCTCGCATCACTGAGTTCTTTTAGGCTTAAAGCGCCTTCCCTAGATTAACTTCTTTAGCGTATTACTTATTTGTTATTCCCAGGCACACACAGAATAAAGCATAAAGTTAATATTTCCCCAGGATTGCAGAGGATATGTAATTCAGCTATTTCATATCTTGTCAGAAAGGAACTGTAAATCCAGGCATATTCCTCTACAGGTTCACGCAGAAGTCTTCATCCCATGCAAACTTACATATGCACTGAGTACCTATTAATACATATGATTACCTACGCATACCAAGGGGTATGGATGAGTAACCAGGAGTCTGCTATGCTTTTGCCTGCTTTGTATAAATATGGCTTAAACCACATCTTTTCAAGATTTATGCTTACAAGACCTTGCCGTGCTTAATTTATTTTTCAAAGAGAGGTAAAAAGTAAACAAACTGAAATATTTGGTACAAAGAAATGTCTTTGTTTAGTTTTGTTATGCATGTGTCAGAGAAATCAGAGAATAGTTGTGTTTCATTTTCTGCCATTTTAACTCACATCTTTATTATCATCAATTGCTTTTTGATGCACCGCAATGTGCCTGACCCACTGTCTTAAGATAAAGAGATATTTGGACATTTCATGCTCTTTGATTCTTCATGAAATCAACACAAAACTTTGGGAAAAAACCCATATTGAGTACTTAAATGCCATATTTTTATAATGTAAACATTGTACAGTATGTCATTTACTCATTTGGGTCCAAATTATTTTCCTATTTCTCTAATAAACCCTACCAAAATATAAGAAAATATGTTGGCACTGATGACCTTGTTTTCATTATTAAATCACTATGGTGTCCACAGGATCTAGTCCCTTTCTAGCCCTGAACTCTTCTCCCTATTTCCTAGATAACTTGCACCAAACACTTAGATAAGATTCTATAGGCTCCAATAATCAGTGCATTATCTTATTTGGTGCTTAAAACTGTGCTTTGAAAATGGTTGATCAGACATTATAATTCATGTATTGTGAATGTGACTTGGAAAAGTTCCTTAAACTCTCTGAGCATTGGTATCTTTATTATGGTGCTTTCCACACCATCTAATGCTATTTTGAGGATAAAATGAGAGAATGCATCTAAATATCTTCACACAGTCCCTGACACATACTAACTATTCAATAAATATCAAATATTATTGGTATTTTTGCCTAGGATCTCTTGGTTATTCATTGATGAAGTCAGCATCAAAGTCTAGGTCTTCTAAGTTCTGATCTGAAGACAATTTCTAAGAGTATAATTTAAAACCTCTATGTTCTCCCTCCTGTTTATTTTTCTAGCCCTATATTCTCCAACCCCTTACCCAGTGGCACCCAGCCAAGCCCAGAGGCTGGCAGACACTCTCTCCTGGTCTTCCAGGTAAATACTGTGTTTAAAAGCACTTTGTACCCAGTGGACTCATACCATCCATCAGGACCCAGCTCAGGTGGTACATGAGTGAACCTGTGCCCCTCCTCATGGCAGTTAAGACCTCCTGCCTCCTTAGTTCCAGAAAATTTTCTTCATCTCTTTGTTACTTGGCTGTCATCTCGATACTTCACAGTTTGTCTCTCTCCTACACAAAACTGTGCACGCCTTGAAGTCAGGAATTTTGTTTTACTCAACTCTGTCCCCTCTGTCTGTCCACTGATTAATATTTGCTGAGTTGATGCTATTAGACTCAACTTTCTTCCTTCATCACGTGGCCACATATGCACAGGACAGCCTTGGCAGCTCATATAGAATATGGGTCTAAATAATGTTTGATTAAACATTTAACCTGGCAGATCTGGTTCCCCTGGTTAAATATTGGCTCCTATTCCTGGAGAATGTTTCACTTGTTCACCTGTTGATGGATAAGTAAGTAGGCTGGCTGAAACTATAACTTCTTCTGCAGACGTTGTTCAACTTTCCACCAAGACTGTCTATTTCTGTACCTTCATTTCCTGCAAGTCTCCCTGTGCTCACTGTGCACCAGCTACACAGATGTTCTTTTAGTTCCAAAACCCACCAAGCTCCCCTTCTTTCTCGTGGAGTTTGCATGTGCTCTGCTTAGAAGGGTCTGTCCTGGTCTTCAGAGGCTGCCTCCCTCTCCTCCTCCAGGTCTCATTAAATATCAACTTCTCCCAAGAATATGAAAAGTTAGGTTATTCTCCCTCATAGATCCCTGATAATTTTCTTCATGGCATTTTTTAGTCGTTATTTGTAGATATTTTGTTTATTTGTTTACTATTTTTCTCTGTTTTTCACATTAAAATAAGTTTTATGAGGGCAGGGACCATGTCTGTCTCGTTGAGTATTGTGCAACAACACAATAATTACATATTGAATCAATCAATAAAGAAAAATGAATATAATAAGCACAGATGTTACGTATTGGAGTGTCTCTTCAATACTCTTTTTAGTAAACTAAACAACTGCAGACAACAGAAACTGTACAAGGAGAACCAGTTGTTCAGAGTCAGTCAATCAGTCAATAAGCCTGCAGCCACTCACCAATCATTTAAGCAAACTCTGTTAGGTGTAATACTAAGTAGAAGAGATGGGTCAGCAGATATGTCTTAGGATAATGAAAAAAAGACTGGGTGATTTGGTCCTCAGACCCTCTCAGCTTTAAGCTACTGTCCCTCTTGGTGGCAGTGACCCAGCCATACTGGCCTTCTGTCAATGTCTCCAAAATGCCATTCTCACCACCACAACAAACATTACCCCACTTTACTCATTATAAAAGATACACAAGATCAATGTATCTGATTCTCTCCCAGGCTCTTACTGTTTCTTGTCTCTTTCCTAAGCTCATCCTGTTTCCCAATGAATGTATCCTTTTGTTCTCAACAGATATCTGCCTTTCCACATTCTTCTAGGATTCTTGTGACTTTCTAGAAACCAAATAAACAAAATAAAAACACCCACACATTTTTATCCTAAGTACCCTAATGCAGCTTGGAAGATCATTCTATGAATTGTCATCATTTTCAATAGAGTAAGTGCATTTACTTCAGAGACCATGGTGGATATTTAAAAGACTATGAAAGGCTCACTACTGTGATGGAAGACAGCCTCAAAAGGTCACAGAAGAGGAGGAGGAAAGTGAATGCACAGAAGCCATCAGTTGAATTTCATTTTAGAGTTTCAGTTTAGTTGTTTACAGAGAGCCTTCTGGGTAAACTCCCATTAGAATGCCTTTTGTAATATAAATACCATATTTTTACTAGGTGAAAAATTAAAGGAAGTTAATCTTACAGAAAAAAAAAAAGTGGAATTTTACAGTTCTTTCTTTGTTGCCAAACAAGAACCTTCTTGTTCCTTGTGTTTTGACTGAATTAACATTTATGTTGTTTGCATACAGTTGGTAAAACAACACTGAATATAGTGTCTTTCCAAATTCATTAAGGCATACCTTACTGTACCCCCCAGTATGAACTGGTGATTAAAGCTGCTTGTTATGCCTCTAGCGTGACTTTACAAACACAACCCAGCTGTATTCATCTTCCAAAATTGAAAAATGAGAGCTAGTTTTTCCCCATTTAACTTTTTCTGAAATTTCTGCAAGATGATGCTCATGTTACAGTTAAACATCAGCTGTACAGCTTTCTCTTTCTTTAGCTATTAGTCCCTTAGGTATAACTCTGTAATCAAAGAGAGGTCAACTGTATCCAAATAAAAAATATGCCAGAATGTCTCTGGCATAAATTTCTCCCTAAAGATTTCAATAGTGTTACTTCAGGAGAGGGAAAAAAAAAATACTATGCTTTATCTAAAAAACCTAAGCACTTAATTCATTAAAATAATAAAACTGAGTTATCCGGTTATTCTTGCAGAGAGCTATGCAAGCACACGATTTTCATGTTACTCATCAAGTTGTTTGTTTTTCTTTTTACTAAGTTTAGAAAGAACTTGAACAATCATAGACAAAATATTCCTGTATGGGAACTATATGGCTACTATTGATGAACACGTCTCATTTGCTATAAACTATAGAGAGGGCATATGAATTAAAGTTCAATTTGAGAATCATAGTCATTGTAAGTTTCCAATTAATTTTAAAAGCAGCTTAGAGCCAGTTCTTGACAAAAATGATGAGGTAGATGGAGAATATCTTTATCTTTATGTAAATGTCAGTTGTCTAAGCTTCTGAATTTCTTTACTAATAATTAATTGTTCTATTCCCAACAAAAGGCTTAAAGTGAAATACCTCTAATGGGTATCTGTATTTCACTTGTCCCACATGTAAATCCAAACAAGTTCCCCATCAGTTAATGTCATTAACTTCCAAATGTTCAATTTACTTATAATTGTTTCTTCTCCTTCTCTCTTTCACTATTAACTAATTTTTCAGGTTGGTGGTTTGATGCTTGTGGCCCCTCCAATCTAAACGGAATGTTCTATACTGCGGGACAAAACCATGGAAAGCTGAATGGGATAAAGTGGCACTATTTCAAAGGCCCCAGTTACTCCTTACATTCCACAACTATGATGATTCGACCTTTGGACTTTTGAAAGCACAATGTCAGAAGCAATTATAAAAGCAACAAAGAAATCTGGAGAAGCTACCAGATGAGAAATTGCTTGAAAACTTCTGAAGCAAACAATATTGTCTCCCTTCCAGCAAAAGTGGTGGTCATGTGAAGTCACCCAGGCTCTTGACTGTGGATTTGGAGCCTCTTGAGTTCACAAAAGTCTCTACTTGGGATCACCATGTTTATATGGCTTGACTATAGAGAATGCCACTTATGGTCATGCTTTATAAAGGGAAGAAACTGCTCAGCTCGATGTGCTTCAGACTACTACTGGATCTTATTTTGGAATGATGGTAGCCAGATGATAAATATGATTTACTTCATGTAAAACAAACAAAAGAAAAGGTGAATTTTTTTTAAAAAAAAAGGATATACGAGAAGAATAGAAAGAGGTCTGCCATAAACCTTTGGAAAAGATGTACTACACCAGCGAAATGGTGTTATATCTATGCAAACTTACTAACAATTAAGTTTATACTGTTGCACAATTATGATAAAAGTTAAGGAAAGACAGTGTTGTCCTCTAGGTTGGTTCAATGTTAATGGATTTCAGAATCCAAATTATAATATCATACTTAATAATTGATTTTAGTTAACCCATCTTCAAATGTAAATTCCATTTTTGTAAGCCATAATGGATTGTATTATATGGAGAATAAAAGTGTGATGTAGAAACACGCTTCAATACTCCTTGATTTTTTTATATGGTTTACAGAAAAAAAAAATGGACATAATCAAATAAGGACACATAAGATGAAAAATTACCCCCCATGCTACAGTTTTCACTAACTTTAAAAACTGACTGGCTAGTATATACATATCTTTATAACCTGAGTACAACTTAAAGAATGTGAAGTATATCATCAAGTTCTTAAAATAATATACATGCACTTAATATTTTCTTTGATATTATACAGGAAAGCAGTATTTGGAATATATTAAGTTGGAGTATATTAGTTGAAAACCTAGTAAACTGGAGCAGTTCATTTCATGGTATCTTCTTGCACATGTAACTTCATTATTTTTAAAATGTTTTAAGATCTTCAATTCTTCATCCTATTATTTCATGCTAATTTAATTTCTGCTAACTAGCTGAAACATGCTTACCAGATTCACCCTGTTTCAGTTTCTAGAAAAGATACACTTTGAAGTCTATAAAAAATAAAAGAATTATAAATATCATTGTACATAGAATGTTTATATTCGTGTTAAACCAAATAGCTGTTTCATCTGGAATATGCAACATTTTTCTTAATTGTTGCAAATAAACACAAGCATTCAAATAAATCTACTTATATTACTTAATGAAATACATTACTCTTTATAATTTCCTTCTTCAGGCTCTATTTCCTTAGGCAACTTATAATTTTATTAAATTAATATTAGTGGAGACAAGTGGCAAAACTCCCTACATCATATGTAAGGGAAACACAAAAAAGAAAATTAATCATAGTCAAATGACTACAAAAATCCTGACTGCTAGCTGCAATAAATCTCTTAATGAAAATATTCCTATGGGATAATCTATTTTAAGTGAATTTTTGGATACAGATTTTTGTGGCAACTTGAAGTTACTACAGTATTTTATCAAGAAATGCTTTTTTCCTCTAAGTGTTCAAGGTTATAATAGTGAACAGTTTTTTGTTTTTGGGGTTTTTTTTAATCAAAACATATTACTATGAGATGAGAGAATGAAAATAGATATTGGGTCTCCTTTCTTAAAAAAGAAAAAGGTTTTTTTTTCGAGGTCAAAATACCAATTTTAGAATTAGTGACTTGAGGGCCGGCCCGGTGGCGCACTGGAGAGTGTGCCGCTTGGGAGCATGGCGGCGCTCCCACTGAGGGCTCGGATCCCATGTGGAGACCGGTTCCCGCTCACTGGCTGAGCGTGGTGCAGGCGCAACACCGAGGGTTGCGATCCCGTTACCAGTCAGTAAAAAAGACAAAAAGGAAAAAAAAAAAAAGAATTAGTGACTTGATTCATTATGCCTTAATGGCTTTTCTCCATTCGAGAGAATAAAGCTATTCACAATTTTTTTAAAAATATTTTTTCATGTTTACCATCAGGTCTTCTTTATGTTTATGTGTCTGTATACAATACCTTTTGCCTTACAAGTGATATGTGCAGGTGTCACATCATTTTGCTGTGCTTGGTGGCTTCTTCATTGTACTGTTAAGCCTCTCCCTGTAGAAACCTCTCAATTTCTTTCATTTAACTGAAAAAAAAAATGAGAGTTTTGTTCTGTTGTGTGCCTACAGATTTTTTTTTTTACCAGTCTTTGGATAAGGAATACTATTTTCCAAAATATATTACAAAATAAAATGAAATAATTTTTTTAAAAAGCATGATATTTACTGTTTTGTTATCTGGATTTGAAAAATGAAATATTGTTTCTAATTATTTATAATAAAATGGTATAAAATGTTTTATGAGTCCATCATGTGCATTGTGTAATGCCTACATGTTTGTGGCAATTTAAAATGTATATCCTTTGCATTTCATTATTTCAGATAGGATAATTAGGTATTTGAATATTGTCCTGAAATTTTTATTTCAATAAAATCCATGCAGTTTCTATGCAAATTTCTTCCTTTCAATCACAATATTATTTGACTTAAATAAAATTGAAGATAACATTTGTTATCTTTTTAACAAATCTAACACATTTTACAAAATTTAAATTGGAGATCTGTGAAAATAAGGAATCACTGAAAAAAAAATCTACCCAATGAACTAAAACCTCAATTTTTGAAAAACTTTTAATTTCACAAAGTTTAGCCCCATTAGGATGGTAGACCAAAGCAACAGGTTTGAGTCTCATCGTCCCTATTACATGATTGTTATGTCCCAGCAATTATGAAATACTCTAGTACCATGTGACAATTGACATTAAATGCTGGGAACTCTGTATGTGGCACAAGGGATGTGTGTTGAACGTCTGAGTCTGGCATAAAGGGGCAAAGGGGAAGGACATAAAGGAGATGCTACTCGCCCCTCATACCTCACATCCTCTTAGTGGTCTTAGTTCTCATAAGGAAGTTTCTTACCTTTGACTGCTCCCCCTGCTACCACATTGATTCAAGCCTTCATTAATTTCCACCTAGATGACTGGAAAAAATACTTTTCTTCTGCCTCTCTCAGCTCCTTTTCACCCTGTAACCACACAAGCTTATTCTTCCTAAAACCAGACTTCTGGACATGTTTCATCCCTGCTCAAAACCCAACAGTATTTTCTCACTTCTGCCTGAATTTGAAATAAACATGTCAGGTTAACCCCAGCTTCAATTGCCAGACAGTTCCATTCCACCTACTCAGTATTCCACCTACAGAGGTCTCAGTATTCCACCTACTCGGTATTCAGTATTCCACCTATTAATTCCAATGAAGAAGCCTATGGTAGGCTACTTGCAAAAAAAAAAGGCCCCTTTTTTCCCTTTTCTGTATCCATGCCCCTTGCAATATGACTGCTGATCATCCCATAAAGAGGTAGCCACCCTCTGAATGTTTGGCTTGGGACTTGCTGTAGTCAATAGAATGCAGAAGTGATTGTATGCCAGTTCTGAGCCTGGGTCTCAGGAGCCCTTCAGAAACACTCTACTTTTGCCATGAGGCCCAGGGTTGCCTAATGGATGATTAGTGACCTATGGAAGCAAAGCCGAGCTTACCAGCTGAGACCACCCTAGACCAGCCGTCCTGCAGCTGACCTTTCAGATCATTCCAGATATATGAGTCACCTCAGCTGAGATCATCTGAGCCTGGCTCAGATCAGCAGAACAGCTGAACTAATGAGCATAATCATGAGAAACTATAAGGGATTGCTGTTTTAAGCCACTACATTTGGGGGTGTTTTGTTAAACATCGTTATTGTAGCGATAGCTAACTGATACAGAATATTGCAGTCCCCACGCACCCCACTCCCACCCCCACCACTGATTTTTATGCATCCGAGAGTTTCAGAACCACTGTCTAGAATGCCTAGAATGTCTAGAATGTCAGCTCACATGGGCAAAACAATCCTCTAATGATCCTCTAGTATGCATGAAAATGCCAGCTGCTTGATGACCCTTTTCTCATGTCCTCTAATAATTGTCACCCTCTCTACCCTCACCTACTCTTACAGATCTTAAAATATTTTGCTTTAATTTTGTCTTATACTCCTTTTATTTCATAAGAGGCTGTCTCTTACTCATTTTTTAATTTCTCACAGTACCTCATAGAACCTTGTTATTCACTGAATGGAATTGGATTGCTCTGAAGGACCAAGAAATCCCGTCTATCTATACAAAATCCAGCACTCAGATTCGGACCACTATCTTAAGCCACTTATTTTAAGACTTTGGACTTAGCCCATTCTCTTCCAGAAAAAGATATTCACATTTATGGTTTTAGTTATCTCAGAAATCCACTTTATTACCAACTTTGCTGGAATATATGCATTATATAAGCTGACAGAACACTACACACTTCTTTCAATTTTAAAACTGTGTGAACATGTGAAATGTATTATCGAATGGTAATTACTCATTTCTTCTTTACACATTTTTTATTGTTATTATTACCATTTTAATGTAAGACAATGATTTATAACATACACATCCAGGCAGCTTATTTTTAGCTTTCTGATTTAAGTTTCAAGTAGGTTTTTTTTTCTGTTCAATTTGATGTTTTTAGTAAAAGTAACCTCTTCTAATTCAAGGTTGATATTTTCTCATGTTTTCCTCTCACCATTACTTTATTGATTACTTATTATATATCAGCCATTGAGGTTATGGTAGTGAACATAAAGGGTTTCCTAGGAAAAACTGGCATTAAACAAGTTATTGTACCTTGTGCATTCTTTCAAGAAAGCAGGCGATGGACTTATTTCTAATGAAAGGTAAATGACAGATAATAGTTAAGATTTAATAACTCCCAGAGTTTTGCCTTCTAACCCAAGACAGACAATCTCAAACTCTGACATATTAACTCTCATTAAAATGTGAAAGGGTATTTTAATTTGTTTTGTTTTGGTGTAGTGGAGATTGACTCCTGACATCTTTGACAGGCAAGCTCCTATTCTGTCCACTCATCAGACCAGTCTGCCTCCAGCCTATCCATTCACTCTGTCCTGTCCCTCAAGGCAAGTCCCAGTGTGTGTTGTGATGTAGAAGCTGGAAGGGAACCACTATCAGCCAGTTCTGCCACAGAGTTATTGTTACTACCTTACCTAAGTTAACTGTATAAAAATTAAATTTGAAAAAAAAAGATGGATCTGCTTCCTAAATATGTCATAAAGAACCAGAACCAACTTATTAAAAGGTGCTAAAACTTTGTAAGTTAAAAATGGATTTAAAATACAGTGTTACAAATAGGTAATAT